CGCCCTCCTGTGGTGAGTTGTGTGTATTACACTGCTCTGAGCGCCCTCCTGTGGCGAGTTGTGTGTATTACACTGCTCTGAGCGCCCTCCTGTGGCGAGTTGTGTGTATTATACTGCTCTGAGCGCCCTCCTGTGGTGAGTTGTGTGTATTACACTGCTCTGAGCGCCCTCCTGTGGCGAGTTGTGTGTATTACACTGCTGCGACATAAATATGTAACACATTAAAAAATCGAGTCTGAGCGCCCTCCTGTGGTGAAGTGTAGGAACAACATTAATGCAGTTTATTCCTGTCAATAACTCAAGCCATAGGCAAACGTTGTTTTGCAACAAATCAAATTAATTTTGTAAAATGATTATTCTGTGCAGCTGCAAAAACAAAACAAATGTAAAAAAAAAAAAAAAACATCTTACATTTGTGAACATTTATATATACACCTCCCATTTGTTAAAATAAATGCATAAAAAAATGGCGCGTCAACTGAACTTGAACGCCCTCCTGTGGTGAACTTTGTGATGATCATGTTTAGCCCAAAAATAAGTAAATAAATTATTTTAAAATTTTATTTTACTAAATATAATAATAATAATAATAATAATAACAATAACAACAACAAACAACAACAACAACAACAACAATTATAATAATCTGGCAAATTATTTTCTTTAGAAACATTTTAAAAATTCGAGTCTGAGCGCCCTCCTGTGGTGAACTGTGTGAATTACACTGCTGCTGCTGCTACTACTACTACTCGCTATAAATTATTTTCTATTGATTGGAATGTATTCATTAATTTAAAAATATTTAAGTCTCCTTTATTACACTGTCTAACGACAAAAATCAAAAATGGAAAAAATGTGGTAAAATAAATTATAACCTCCACAAACACGGAAGTGGAGCGGTAACCACGCACACCTGCCGGAAACGATTCCTGTTTTAATAATCCAATCTATCATTCTGAACTTACTTGTTTCGCGGGCTCGTCCCTGTCCCTCATTCCTCCTGCCGCACTGGAAGAACCTTAGGAGTTAAAGTGATCAAACTTTCGTGCAACATTACACTGTCTCTCTCTGTGTGTGTGTTTCTAATCAAACACACCTGATTGGGCTCATCTTAATGATGCGCTTTTGAGCGTCACCGTCCTGTATTATGTCTGAAATGTTTAAGTACATTCAAAGTTTATGATTCAAGAGTCACTAGAACATCCCTTCAATTAAGACTTCACTTCATGCAAATATTTATTAAACTGCATTGACATGCTGTCAGTTTCTATGCAACATACAGAACGACATTTCTAGTTATTTTTATTTTTATACACTTTAATTTTCATTCCTGGTGAATTCGACGTGCATTTATTGTTATTCCTGCTGAGAGATCGGCACGCTTATTAGAACTGCATTTCCGTTTCTACCATAAAAGTCCTATTATAGTGCCAACAGTTGCTTCACATTAAATAATGGACTATATAAATAAACTAAACCACAATCTCCTGGAGGACAGTCATAGGTGAGGCTGAGATTTAAACAGTTTTTCAACAAATCTTTGATTTCGAACAGCAAAGCAACATAGATCTACCAGTTTCAGTAAACTTGAGATGAGGTAAGGAAGATAAAATCCAATTTTTTTTTTTTTTTTTTTGTTCACTGTATCAACCTTGTTTTTAATGTAAGATTGGGCATAACAAATCATAACTTTGTTATGCTGGTTGATATTGCAAACAGGTATTTCTTATATTAATTTCATGTTATATTATTGTTGTAATTATAAACACTAGAATCTAGATGTTTAAGAGTCGGAAGTCTCACACATTCACAGAAAATAGCTTATTTCTGTATTTCAAAATAAGGTGGATATTTTGTGCAGCTCTCGTTTGCATTTCAATTTCTCTATATGCATAATAAAAATTACCTTTTTTTTCCCCCCTTGTGTGCATCTATACTATATTATTTTGCATGTGCTTTAGGCATTTCTATTTATTTTTATATATTTTAATTTTCATTTCTCTATATGGATAATAAAAATTTAAAACAAATTTCTTTCAACTCTGATTCATGAAAAATCCTAATCAAACACACCTGAAACATTTCTATCCAGATGATTGGTGGGTTCCAAGAAAAAAAGGCATGTCAACAGTATGTCAAAAATGTTCAGTCTTTTATTTAAAAACTATAAACAGTCACCAAAGTAAATGAAGCCAATCTATATCAGACTGTTAGATATATGTATCATCGCACACCCTACAGACACTGCAGAAATGGTGAGGTGGGTGGGGGTCATGACCCCGCTGGGATGCTAACACAACAGGCAGTAATAAATGTTACACAACACACAGCAGAGAGGACAGCCTGGGGTCCGGGAGCCGGAATGTGGCGTGGTCGTAAATGGATGAAAAAGAAAAAGGCAAAAAACAAAAAAGAAAACGCAAAATAGTACAATAAAATCCCACACTATATTAAGATACAAAAAAGGTCTGGAGGAAAATATCATACCTGCACGGAAAGCAAAGAACACAGGAGAAAACCTGTATAAAACTCCATGTATTTAAACCAATTTACAAATACAAAAAGAATCACGTACGGGCCGTCGGGCTCGTACTCTGACGCTTACAGTGAATACAGGTTGAGGGGAATACCTTCAATATGTTTTTATCTCTTCTACAAAATGACATATGATATATTATTTCATACTCTTTCAGCCAGCAAAATGAGTTCTACAAGTTATAATAGTACAAAAAAGGGAAGAAAAAACAAAAAAAATCACAGTTCCACAAAGAAAAACCTGTAGCCCTCCGCCAGCCCTCCCAAAACTTTACAGCATCAGTACCTTCGCAGAATATTTACAGGGTTTAAGTACATTCATCCACTGAGTATAGAATCACATCTCAAACAAGTAACCAGGGGCTGAAATAAAAAAACGTGAGTCTGAACCAACTAACGTAATGCTTCTGATACCAGCGGGCAGCAGCGGCATGAAGGAGGGTGATTTCACTTTATATCTATTCACAAATATTTACACAATTTTTTTTCTCATCTACTCATATTGGTATTTATTTCAATAATAAATAAGTGAAAATATAATCGGCTCAAGTAAGAAAACCAAGCTATCAAGTTATAAAGAAAAAACTAAATCTAGCCACACCTCTCCCGCACCGTTGTCCACTTGCCCCGCCCACAGAATCCCCCCCGCACTCCTCTGGGGCTATAAAAATGTGCTCGTCGGGCCAGGCGTGAAGAGGGGGTCAGAAGAGTGAAATGAAGCACAGAGAGATGGTTTTCATGCCGCCTTACCAACCTGAACACAAACACACAACAGACAGACACTGACTACATTTATGAAGCCTACTTTATGCTGATTTTCTTGTTTTTTTAAACACAAGCTGGAACAAGTGAATCCCAAAAAGTCACATTTCATCCCAAAATATAAAATATTTAGTTAGTTACATTAAGAACAACAATAATTCTAATAATAATTACTACTACTTACTAATAATTATTAATAACAGAATTAATCATTTTAAAAAGACAACAATGAAGTCTTTTAAAAGCATTAAGAATTTTTGCAGATACATTTATGAAAATTAAACATTTCTTACATCTTACAGAAATTGAAATTGTATAGAATGTGTCTTTTTATCTTATTTTGTAGAAATGTAACTGTAAATTTCAATACTGCAATGCAGAAATTTTTGTACTGTACTCCAAAATTCTTATAATGATCAAATTATCTAAATATTTAATGATATTTAAATACTTTTCAGTGTTATTATATTTTAAAATTGGAATAATAAAACTGATTTCTTATATCTTTTTATTTTAATGTGAAATATGGCCCAACAATGTTAAAATAAAGATAAGATTTTTTTTTGCATTGTTAAATTTTCATGACAATTAAAAGATTTCTTAGATCAATTTTACACAAATTGATTTTTTTTTAACAAATGTAAACTAAAACAAATACAATCAAAATAAATCACAGAAATGGTAGAAATGGTTCTCAGATTTTGATTACTGCAATGTAGAATTTTTGTACTGTACTACAAAAAATCATTAATGATCAAATTATCTAAATATTTCATATTTCAATACTTAACAGTGTATATAGACTATTATATTATTATCAATATTAGAACAATAAACTATTTCTTAGTTTTCTTTTATATTATTGAAATATGACCCCAAAAATATTCTTGATAATATTTAAGTGTGTGTGTGTTAGTGCTATCAAATCGATTAATCGTGATTAGGGTTAGGTTAGGGTTAGTTTACACAAACCTTTTAAACAGTTTGTTTACACAATATGTGCGTGTACTGTGTGCGTGTATATATATATATATATATATATATATATATATATACACACACATGTATTTTTATATAAAAAATATAGACATGTATATACTTATATATATATATATATATTCATATTTATGTATGACTTATAAATATTACATCTATTTCTGAAATATATACATGTATGTGTGTGTATTTATTATATAAACACAAATATACACAGTACACAAACATATTGTGTAAACAAACTTATTTTGGATGCGATTAATCACGATTAATCTATTTGATAGCACTAATTAACACACATACATACATACACACATATATATATATATATATATATATATAACCTTTTGGCATAAATTATTATGAATTTATGCTACAAATTAGAAATCTCAAACACAACAACTACACTGAAAAGGTTTACTTACTTCCGTCCACAATCTGAGTACTTGGCGATGCTCTTTAACGTTAAGGCAGCAGTTAGTCTAATGTGTTTGGTCATTGGTCCCTCTTTATCGTCCTGAGCAGAAAAAAACACAAATAAAACATTTCAAGCTATAAGCAGCAGAACGGTCATTGTTGACATGATGCAATACTGACTGTGAAGTCCCTGAACACCAGGTTCCGTGAGCCCCTGCGTAAAGCCATCAGAGCTGCACTGGGGTGGTTGACGAGCGCTTTCTGTGGTCTGGGAGGAGGCGGAGGACTGCTGACGGCTGCTGGAGGAGACCTGCACATCAACACAGTGAAAATCTCCATCACAATCATCTACAACCATAAGCCAGCAGGAGCTAAAGAAGTCATACACACTTGGAAGTGCCTTGCGTTTGCTCCTCCAGTTTGAGTGCAGCTGTGAGCGCTTCCCTCGAGCAGTGCTTATCCTGCAAAACACGCACTCGGATTAGTCAAACACACAAAGGGATAGATGTCATCTATAGAAAAAGAGAAAGACGGGATCTTGCCTGCAGGTGTGTGATGAAGGATAGTCTCTGGCGAGGAAAAGGTTCACAGCCCTCCCATTGGCACTGCCCTGGGTACATGTCTTTACTGCCATGATAGGTAGCTGCATGGTAAAACACCTGTGATGGCGTGTCAAACCACCTGCAACAACATGTTAAAGTTAGCATGAACCATCCCTCTCAAGAACAACATCTGTAAAGCAGAGCGCATCACACGCGTCCTCACCGTTTGCATGCCTTCCACAGACATCTGAAGTTCTGTCCAGGTTTACGTGCTTGATCTGGAGAGAGGGCGGGTGCTGGAGAACTCTGATTGGTTCCCTGTGCAGCCGGATCCACTGGAGGCGGAGTCTGCACTGACACAGGCTGCTAACACACAGGAAAATTTAAAATTGGAATACGTCTGAATACATCAACTATGGCACACAACAACAATAATAATAATAGTATAAAATGATAAGCATGTTGTGAATTTACAAATTCTTGCTGTTTTTTTTACAGTATGTGCAAGAACTAAAAAAAATAAAGTGCCATGCACACAGAATCATTCAAAGATATATCTAATTTTTTCCTTCACTTAATAAACTCAAAATAAAAATGTGTAAATATCACTCACTATACAAACTGGGTACTTCATTTGAGTCTAGAATTATGCTAGTGTTTTCTTTGATTATTTTATGATTCTTTTTCTCATTTTGATTTTGTAATTGGAGGTGTGGCCTTTGTCATTATTAACTGCTCTAAATGAGTTGTTGTTAAATTTGCTGATACTTTTGCACATTTTGTAAGCCTGAGGAAAACTGGCCGACCGAAATGCTGCAAATAATTTCGTAACTATGCAAGTTTGAGTAGCGTGTAGGATTAATGCATTAAAAAAAAAAAAAGTTTATGAATTTGCAAGAATGTTTTTCAGTCCAAAAACAACAGAAAAACAAAATTATTGAAGAATTGTTGCATAATAGTTCATTTCACCTATAATATGAAAACTTTTTACTTTCATTACAGCAATTTTTGAGCTTTATCGGAATATAAGCAATTGAAGTCAGTTCACATGGAAATAAAATCAACTTCAATAAATCAACATCTAACAAGCATCTAAAACCGACGAGTAACTAAACTTGTTTCTAATTAAGACACTATCATTGAATAAGGTAAACATGTACAGATATCATTCTTTCACTAGTTAACAAAATCACAGTACAGACAGTTGTTTTGTATTACAAATTCATAATTAAATATGCACTAATTAAATATCAAATTATATTATATTAAAATGCGTAATTTTCCAGTAAAGAAATGTATCCACTGGATGAAGTCAGGTTCAAAAATTCATTTCAATCTGTTGACATAGTAGTTAAAGGTTTCTGCATAGAGGATTTTGGATTTCTTCTCCTATCACCATATTAATCTACTTTAATCTAATCTACATTAATCTAATGGGACTATCAACAGCCAGAAAAAGTGTTACATAAATCAGGCCAATGATATATGAACAAACCCCACTGTAAAAAACTTGTACTGTAAACTATAAATATAAAACTAATGTGTAGATTATATATGTGCTGAAAAAACCCACAGCTTTTAAACATATGTACAGTAACTGAACAGATGTAAATAGATAGTGTAATAAAAAACAGAAAAAAAAAGCATTATGTTGTAAACTGCACCATTCTAAAACCATGAATCAAAACACATTACCTGAGCATTGGTTTCAGGGAGCGGCGAGGGCACACTTGGTCTCTGCTGCGCTGCATTCTCTATTGCTACTTTTGCTACTGTGCTTGGGTCTGCGCCCACCGGCACGGCCACCATGGTGGCGCAGTTACCAGCATTGTTGGGGTCGCTGATGGTCACTATCCGTACACCCATTTTGTTGGGGATTCCGGAGGTACCTCTGTCCCCGTCCTCCAGCGGTCTCTTCAGCGGCCGGCTCTCCGAGGTGCCGTTAGCGGGAGGCAGCGGGGGAGCCGGGGGCGGTGGCTCGGAAACGGGCGGAGGTGGGGAGTGGTTATGAGGTGGGTGCTGTTGCCTCAGGCCCAATGTCTCTGAGTTGGGGCCGTTGGAGATCTCAGTGCCGTGGCTGGGCCCATTGGCCAGGCGTTCGGCCTGCTCTGCTTTGGCAGTATCCTGCTGAGGAGCAGCAAGAGAGTCCTTGAGGCCGAAAGGCCCGTGCGCTTTCTGAGGCGACAACACCTCACCGTTCCCCATGTGTTTGGAAGCCTTGTGATTTGGAATGTTTTTGCTCGGATGGGTGGCATCCGATCGATCAAAGTCACACACCCCGTTTACCATTAGCTTTTTAGGGTCAGAGGGCGTCTGCTTCCCAGGGCCGCCGCTGTCGCCGCCTTGCGCCGCAGGGCCGTTCAACGCCTCTGCTTGGCTGTTCCCTGAGTGGTATGGAGGTAGACTCGAGTCAAACTTCCTCCCATTGAGCAGCTTGGCCGCAGGTCCGTCCACCTCTGCGGATTCACCATTGCTGGCTTTGGCCGAACCGTCGGTGACGGAGTTGTTCTCCATGACCTCGATCTTGCGCTCGTGGACGTGCAGCCCCGTGGCGTCCTTGGCCGCCTCCTCCTTTTGGCAGATGATTTTGTCACCTCGGAAAGGCGGAATGGGCGTGGCTCCAGCAATTGGCAGAGGTGGAGTCAACTGAAGGTTGATTGTGGGCGGGGTCTGCGCTCCCTGGCCGGGGAAGCCAGAGTTTGGCACTACTGTGAAGGTAACTTGGTTGCTGGGTGTAGCCTGCAGAAGGGTGCCAGGGGTGGAAGTGGAAATGATCTGCCCTGGGAGGATGGAGATGGGAACAGCACCGGTCGCCTGCAAGGGGCTCTGCATAAGTTGCACATTTAACTGCGGTTGAGACGCCACCGCACCGCTGTTGGTCACCTGGTATATGACTTGCGGGCTTGGCGCTCTGGTGCTCACAGGAGCGGGAACTTGCGGTGCGGGGAGTATGAGTTTTCCACCTGGGGTGGAAGGACCGCGTTTCGGAAGCAGTAACTGTTTGATCAGACTGGATTCTGTGGAGGTAGGTTGGGCTGGGGGTGGAGGAGGGGGCAGAGTCTGCTGAAACTGGCGCTTGACAGACAGCATATGGCTAACTGTGTTGGGCGGGGCTTGCTGCATGGGGGCAGGGTTGGGGATCGGTGCATTTGGGGAAGCGGGAGACTGCGTGGGCTGCGGTTGGATGGTTTGAGGACTGGGGTTGGTCAGTACGATTTGATGGATGGCTGGGGCGAATGCAGTGTTGGGTTGTTGATTCTGACTGACGATGACTAAGCTTTGCTGTTGCTGCTGTTGAGGTTGAGGCTGTGGCGACTGGGCTTGTGGTGCAGGTTTGGGGGCGATATTTTGAAATGTGACACGGTTGCTAGTCATGCCTGAGACAGTCACGACCTGCCCTCCTGCCATCAGCGGAGTGCAAGGAGCACTGACATACTGAGGCGGCGTGAGCACCACAGCCTCTTGGGAAGGGGCACCTTGCTGTCCCTGAGGGGCTTGCATGCGCTGTTGGGCCACCGAAGGACAAACACTTCGCACTCGACCTGTAAATACGTGTCCCTGGGGCGGCGGCCCCTGCTGGATCAGTGTAACGGGAGCGTGATGGAGCAGGGGCTGCTGGATAGGTGAGCCGCTGTGGTTGGGAGCAGCAGGTGCAGCAGTGGCCGTGGGGATGGAGCTCTGGATCATGGCTGTTTTGAGAATGTCATTGGGTCGTATGGGAACTGGGGCGGTGGCAGGAGGGCATGGAGGAGGAAGTGCAGCTTGTCCTGGAGGGTTCATGGGGAGTCGTGGAACAGTCGGGGCTGGCGCAGGAGCATTGGGAGCGTTGGCGTGCGACGTACCGTGCATGGTGAAGGCCACCTGTGGTGCTGCCTGGCCGGCAGTAAGGCTTAGTGCTGGTGCCCGGACAAGCTGCCCTCCCACACCAGGAGGCAGCACTGCATGGACAAACGAGAAAGAACAAATCAGCTATAAATGCGACTAGCTTATCGCATTAAACAGTGTATGGGCTTTTGTTTTATTCTTACACCTGGGTAAATTAAATCTGGTGTTCAAGTTCAGCACTGCACAATGGGGTTAACTAGGGTCTTATGATTTTCATGATGCAGAAAACATGGGCGGAATTGCAGAATCCAGTCATAAAAATGGAATTTGCTGTATAACAAAGAATTTGGCAAAATTTGGATAAATAAATCAAAATATGGCCGCACACTTATTCAAATCACGATAATGACTAGTGTCTGTGAATATTAAACTGCAAAAAGACTGCTTTGTCTCAAAGTAATAATAACAAGTATAAGAATACATTAAAGATTAACATACAATAACACACATTTTCCATCCATGTTTTAAAAAGTAAACAGTTGCAGCACTTTGTTTGCCAAAAAAAAACACACATTTCATAGGGCACTATTATTGTTAAAATTTTGTGTGTTCAATTGATGTGTAATTTTTTATTAAAACAGAAAAAAAAAATAGTATTTGGGAAAAAATAAAACAGATTTCATATGGCACAAGGTTAATATTCTTATTTATATATTTACAAGGTTATTTAACTTAAATTGTTGCCTGAAGTCTTCTGAAACCATTTTCAAAGTGAATGAATATTTATAGGTTTATGATAGGTTGTCTGTTGCTTAACAACTTGCTATAACATCACAACTTGAACATTTTCACACTACATAGTTTTCACACCACAATTCAGAGTTTGTAAAAATAAACCAGAGTGTTTAAAACAGTGCTAGATTCCGTTTATACTAAGTAGGAAACATTTAAACCAGTTAAAAAAAACAAGATAAAGTGCAGAGTGAAATATCTCTCTTGCTAGAATGAGAGTTCTTGAACCAATAATAAAACTGTATCTCTACCTGACAGGGGCTGAGGGGTTTCTGAGGGGGCTTCGTGTTTGGGAACTGGAGCAGGACTGGCCTGCTGCTGCTGATAATAAAGCTGGACGGGAAGAGGAATCGGCCTCTTCCGCACACCAACCACATGGATTTGAGCCTGCCCACTCAGCCGTGTGTCCTCCACACGCTTCACCGTGTGATTAGGAAACAGCGTCCTGAGAAACACACAAGCAAAGCGTTGATTTTGTGTTTGAGCGACGAATTTAAGCATTCAACATTTACCATTTGGGACGGCACATCTACAACTTCACAGCATCTGTCCAACAGTTCTATTAATCTCACCTCAGGCATTTGTAGAAGTTATTGGATGTTAACACTCCACCCCGCGCCATCTTGCTGCAGGTCGCCAGATAATCAGAGTACATCTCAGAGCGAGAGACCGAACCGTCTGGATGAACCTCGAAATGAGCATTTAGCCTACCAAGAGCAGAAAGCATTCATAAAACACTAGAAAACATAACAGATTTGAGAAATGCAAGAAGGAAAGACAGTAAATCTTACCACTGAGTTGTGAATTTCTCTCCATCTACTTCCACAATCCCAGGCGGAGGCGTAGACTGCACAGGCGCCCTGTTCACTGCAAACAAACAAACGCAAACACACTGTAAATACAAATTACATGAACTCCTTCCTCATTCATTTTCCATTTCAACTCACCCTTTCATATTGATTTTTTTGTGGGATATTTTAAAATCCTACCTTAAGATTTAAAGCAGTAGCCACAACAACAACATCTGTTTAAAATTATCTCCTATTTTCTGATAATATTACTTAATATCATAAACACTGATGAGGGAATCTACTTTTGCGCTTTATCATAACGCTGCAAAAAAAAAAAAAAAAAAAAAAAAAAAAAAAAAAAAAAAAAAAAAAAAAAAAAAAAAAAAAAAAAAAAAAAAAAAAAAAAAAAAAAAAAAAAAAAAAAAAAAAAAAAAAAAAAAAAAAAAAAAACTAGGCTAATTTCCATGAATTTTTGGAGGTAAAGTTACCTTCATAAAACCTATAAATAAAAGTTTGGGGTCAGTAAGATTTTTATTTCTTTGAAAAAAAACTTTCAACAGTATAAAACCATTTTTAAAAGAGGAGTAGAATTATTACAATCCAATAAAATACGTGTGACAGACAATGAGCTCTGACATGATGTAAATGTGCATTTTGGTTTCCACTTCATTCGCCAGTTAAAAGTGTAACTATACATTTAAGTACTGAATAATGTTAATTAATTATATGCACTTACAATAAGGTCAGGATGAGGGTTGGTTTACGGTTAGTTGCACGTAATTATGCATAATATATTGTTATTACTATAGTAAGTACATGCAATGTATAACAAGGACACCATGAAATAAAGTGTTACTGCATTTTGCATCTGTCCTATCTTGCATTGTGTGTAAATCACTTATTCTCAACGGTTATTAAAAGACAAAGTACTTCTTGTGATATTTGATTATATAATTTTGCACATCTCTAGCACACACAAAAACAGAAAGCGGACGCATGGGACACTTACCAGCGCCAGGAGTGCCTTGCGTGGGTGGGGGAGCGTGCTCGACAAGCTGCGGCCGAACCTCTGAGACCTGACTGCTCGAGGCCTGATGCTCGATGAGTTTTACTGCCGTCAAGGCGTCCGGTCCAAACGTGTGCAGGTCCACTGACACCAACCGCACTAGAAGATCTGATATACGAACATGCAAAACATGTCAGTTCACTGCTCCTGATGGTTAGTGGTGCATCAAATTCGGCAACCAAATTTTCAGGCTGAAACACCACAATAAATGTACGGTTTTGAAGGGAGGAAATCGTTGACTGAAACGTGTGAACGCGTACCTATGCTTCTCTCCACGGAGGAGATTTTAGAGCACGTGATCTCCCCGAGCTCTGCCAGCAGGTGCAGGACCTCCAGCGCGGAGATGACCAGCATGACGTCCGGCAGCGTCAGGAGGGCGATGACTTCTCGGTACGACTCCTGATCCACATACTCGCAGATCAGAACGCCATTATCCTCCACTTTGCTCAGGTTCCCGAGAATTTCCATGGCTGCAGGATGCATTGGAAATAATTAGCAACTCTCACAGAAAACCGTACGTTTTACTGCACACACGGTTCACCCAAAAACATACTTACCCCTCATTTTGAGAAAACGATCCCGTGACAACAAACACTTCGTGATGGTGTGAAACATCAGATGAGTTGTTCGGAAATCAACGGGATCCAACTGAAGCTGGAAAAAGGACAAACAGACAGATGACATTTGATATAATACATAATGTACATAAGTTATGATTATATTGTTTTATTAGATTATGTATTAGCTGTTTTGTTCCATAAAACCATATGATTACTTGCTTTTGATATTTTGTTTGAACCAATTATTACTGCCCTATTGTTATTATATATGTATTTTAAGTCATTTTAAAGTTTATTGTTTGCTTAGGTTTATTTTTATCATTAAAAAAAAAAATCCAGTTACTCGATTAATCGTTTAAATAATCGACCGATTACTCGATTACCAAAATAATCATTAGTGACAGCCCTAAACTACTCTAAAGCAATCTTTCAGGAAAATGTTTTTAAATTAAGACAACTATATAAGTTGTGTTAGTTTGTTAAGATTATTATGATGCATAAAACGTGTAAATTGGTTAGTTGGTGTTTTAATATCATGCCAGCTTCTTTATTTTCATGGTGAGAAATAAGTTGAAATAATATAAAAGAGCAATTTATAAAACCTATCCTCTGGTTTCACAGACAAGGCTTAAGCCTAGTCCTAGACTAAAATGTAAATCTGAGATGTTTCAACTGAAAGAAACTTGCACTGACTGATCTTAAAACATGTCAGTGCCTTTGTTTTGTCTTAAGATGCACACCAGTAATGCCTTTTTCTAAGGCATGTTTATAAAAACTACTTAAATGTCCTAATTGAACTATGGACTAATCCTGGCTTAGGCTAAGCCCTGTCTATGAAACTGGACCTAAATGTTTGCCTTAGATAAAAAAAACAAAAAAACAACAACTGTAAAATGGATTCAGGTTTGACAGTGTAACAAAAATGTGAGGGTGTTTGTGGAGTAATATAATTTCCTAAGAGATCTCAAACCACAAAACGTGTAAGAATCATAAACATTTGTTGTTCACAGAGCTTATTTTCAGCAATAATCCAAAAGCCAATGGATGGAAAAATCCTATTGGGTTTTTGAAAAGGGAATCTTGGTGATGCAAACAAAAAAATTTCGTCATTGCAGCACTCTATAAAGACCTTGTAGATTGTGGACTAACCTCTCCGGCGACGTTGCCGAGCGTGTCGAGACCCAGCTGCCGCAGCTGGATGAAGGTGCAGTGCGCACACAGTAAGAGGAAGCGCAGACATGTGCGATTAGCTGCCAGGAGTTTGATGTTGGCCTCCTCGAAGGACAAGTTCCTCAGAATCATTGCCACCTGCAACACCCGCTGGCCCTCGACGTCTCCGATGCCTACGGCACGTGCTGGGTGGAAGAGAGGAGTGCAGACGTCCCTCGTCTTCAATATGTCTGAAAAATACACAATGCACACTTAGTGTTAAGTAATGCTCGGTTAAAACACATCGACTAATCAAAGCCAAACTACAATTCACCACATCAAAGGAAACAAGAGTAGCCGGGACGCAAACAACCACATACTTTGGGGTGTGCAGCTCTTGTCTGAGATGAGATCTTTTACTTCAATGTCTTCAATGACATCTTTCCAAAACTATGAAGACAAGAAAACAAGAGTTAAGAGCGCAAGAACAGAAAGCAAGCAAGAAATGCAAGTTGACATCTTCTCTTACCCTCACAAAGTCCCGTGACGTTTTCTCCTGCCAGTCTGTCCCAAATAGAGCAGAAAAGCTGCCTAATGCTGAAAGACAAACATATGTAACGTTAGCACACGTATGCCGTCCCAAAGTGCAAATACTCTAGTAGCCGCAGTATTAAACGCACAGTCGTCGAAGACTCCCGTGTGCGCCAGCAGCAGCGTGACGAGTTTGGGCTCTTTTTCTAGCTGCATGGCGTGCTTGCTCTCATTGGACAGGAGCGTGCACACGTTAATGGCAAAGTCCACCTCGTTCGGGAGCCCAGACAGGAGAGACAGCACCAGTTTGTTGTAATCGGATGGAGGGACGAAATCCGTCGACAGCCCATAGCTTTGGCGGAGATAGTCTGTCAAACAAAGGATAAGCAAAAGATAAATTGTGTTATATTTCTAAAGAGTTCCTGAAGACATTGTGAGCAGTCACAGTGTGTCTTGAGACTCATACAAAACTAGACTCAGCCAGGTGTGAATGCATCTGGTTGTTCAGACCACATATGTAAACTTCACTTCTCCCAAAAAGATCTACATCAGCATAAAGAAGATTAGGGGTTTAGCCCTATGAAATATTGATTGCACTTTATTTTACAATCCTCTTCTGCATGTACATACTATGTACTTATTGAAGTACAAAAAAAAAGTAAATGGGTAATAACCCTAAACTTACCCCTAAACCTTATCTTAACCAATATAGTTACCTTGTATTACTCCGTATTTCATTAGATAAGCACATAGGAAGTGCACATACTGTAAAATAGTGCAACCTTTATATGAAATTTTAATGATCAAAAAAGATGTCTACAACAACAGTGTCCTATGAAATGTTTTTTTTTTTTTTTTTCAGAAATTCGGTGTCATCAGTTTTCATTTTTCTGAATTCTGTGCTTTACAGTTTAATACAAATGTGTTATGGAAAACTGTGGTTATGATTTTTGCCATACAAGACTATATTCATGGCAAACTCAAGAACAATATTTAATACAGTCTAAATCTTTTATAATTTAAATCTAATAATTCCTTTCTTTTTTTTAGCAAACAAAGTGCTGCACATCAGAGGTTTATTGCTAAAATTAAAACATGGATGAAAAATTGTGTTACCGTCTGTGTCATGTGCTTTGAGAAAATGTTTTACTAAACCAAATTTTTATTATTATTACTTTGAGAAGTACATTCTACTAATTTTTTCAAATTAAACCAAACTCATTTTGGCAGACTGTCATGAAGATCTTTGAGTGCGTGTGTGTATCTGACGATAGTTTAATCACATGAATTGGTAAAATGTTGGCGAAATGATTCTCAGAGCAGTCCTGGAAATGAAGTTCACATGCTCATGTCCTCAAATAGTGAGACTAAAACCTACCCCAATCCTTATGTAAAGGGAAATATCATCGGTCTCTCTGAAAGGAGTGCAGTGGCAGGAGTACTATTTCCTTCATGGCATTAAGAGTTCTCACAGGTGCAGCTCCAACACACACTAACCCTTTGAGCCAGCTGTGTGTGTGTGTGTGTGTGTGTGTGCGTGCGTGTGTGCTTAAGTCTCAGGGAAGCAGACAGGGCTCATTTGTACCTGATACAGTGTGTTGCTGGTAGTTGTATGACGTGGGTATTGCACCAATCGGAAGCAAATGTTTAGGATTCCCCGGCTGCTCCTCTTCATCTTCTTCTCCAAAGTGATGCACCTTTTCATACTTCTCTAAATAGCTGCAGAGAGACCAGAAAAAGACATCAGCACACAGAATGACAGACAGATAGATACACACTCGTGATCCCAGGGGAAATTTAAGAGACATGAAACATCCAGGCACATTTATTCACTGACCAGTGAGCACCTGTTTAAAAGACTGAGTGGTTATAATTGTATTGTACACATTTTATAGCATGTTTGAAATAAGCAGATGTCGGTTTCTGCATTTAGACGACTGTTTGGAGAGATAATGTGCGAATGTCATTCATTTCCATGAGCAAAACACACACAGACAAACCTGCCTACCTCAGGGACTGAGAAAATCTATTAGCATTTGTATGTAACATGCGGCTTTTCTTTTCACAAGACGTTAACTGATGGACTGGAGTGGTGTGGATTACTTGTGGATTATTGAGATGTTTTTATCAGCTGTTTGGACTCTCATTCTGACGGCACCCATTCACTGCAGAGGATTCATTGGTGAGCAAGAGATGCAATGCTACATTTCTCCAAATCTGATGAAGAAACAAACTCATCTACATCTTGGATGGCATGAGGGTAAGCACATTTTCTGCCAATTTTCATTTTTGGGTGTACTATTCCTTTAAGATGCACCTTACACATTATTTCATTAAGATTTGACAAGATTTCGGAAGTGACACTAAGAAGAACTTATGTTAATCAGCCAAACAGACATTGACACCGATTAACTGGTCTGTCAAATGTAAAGAGAAAACACACATGCAAAAGTCTGCAACCTTGAAATCACACTTGATTAAATCCCCACTAAAAATACTTAAAACACAAGATAACGGCACACTTTACCATATCACACAACTCTGTAACCTCACATACTGAAAGACGGTCAGAAAGCACGAGTGGTTTATTCCAGAGAATCAGGGATCAACCGTATTGTGAGTCAAATAGTAATATTCACAGTCCTGCTCCGTGTGTATATATGACTCATGAGTGGTTCCCTCAACTGAATGAGCTTTCACTTACACACACCTCCCACGTGCTACAATACAAACACTATAAATAGATATCTGCACTCCATAAACACTAGAAAACAACACACTGTACTGGACACACAGCGTGGACAGCCATTCAACTCACTGGACTGTGTAATTGTAGGATTTTAATTAGTGATAGACAGTTGATATCACTGAACAAGATAACTAACTAGCAGATAACCAGACCCACTAGAGAAATGCTAGTTCTCCCTTGTAAAATTTCAATTTATTTCACAATCTAGCTATGTGAATTACAGTGATACGCAAAAACTTGTTTGCTGCAATTAAAAGGATAGTTCACCCAAAAATGAAAACGGTGTCTTTATTTACTCACCCTCATGTGCTTCCAAACCTTGTTCCTGTGGAACACAATAAGAAAATATTTTGACGACTGTTGGTAACTAAACGGTTTCAGTTCCCTTTGACTTTCACTGTATTTTTTGTCCATATAACGAAAGTCAATGGGAACTGAAACTGTTTGGTTACCAACATTCTTCAAAATAACCTTTTATGTTTAAGTCATACAAGTCTGGAATGACATGAAGGCGAGTAAATAATGACAATTTAAAATTTTGGGTGAACTATCACTTTAAATTGTATATCAACGTTATATTCACCACCTGCAACTCAATTAATCAAAAAAACGTAATATAGATGCTGATGATCGTCTCAGGTAGGTCAGCGTGTGAGTTCAGACAAACCCAGAGCTGATTACAGGCTGATGCTTCTCGAGACACTAAATGAGGACCTTCTGAAATCATCAGGTTTATTATGTACAATTTAAGTCAGGGGCGCTCAGTCCTGTTCTCGGAGATCTACCTTCCTGCAAAGTTTATCTCCAGCACTAATCAAATACACCTGAATCAGCTAATGAAGACCTTCAGCAGCACTCAATAATCACAAACAGATGTTGAAGGAAGGCAGATCTCCAGCAACCATTACTTTCTTTTCATTCATAAACCTAAAAGGCAAAAAACACAGCATCTGCTGTCCAAACCGGAGATGTAAATACAGAAATTAAGCTGAATGATGAGGAACTACGGCATCCAGTCAGCGCTCACGTGAACGGCCCCGTTTCTGAGGTCCAGACAGAGAATTACTGCCCTCTACTGGAGACACAGAAGAAAAAGGTCAAGTTTCACCTGCAGGAGCTGCTGAATATATGGAATGTGTCTAGGAGAAAATCAAATAGGACTACAGATAACAGTTATGCAACAAATACATCTTCAAACAGAATTCAAACAGAGTATATGCAATGCAGCCCCTTAATACTACAGTAAAACTAAACTAGAGCAGAGCAGGCTGGGGATAAACTAGAATAAATTAAACACTTGATCATAACATGAGCATGAGGTTCTACATATTTTACATGCGAAATTTACATTCTATAAGGCCAAACTGAGAGCAGACTGACCAAAAACAAATCTGAGACCAATGACTGTCTGGCTAGACATGAACAGAGGAATGAAATTATAGCCTATTCTATGTGTTCAGACAATCTGCATTTGAGGCTCATTTGCATGCAATAAGAGTTAGTGATGTTCAATCTGCAAATAAACAGATTCACAAAGCATTCACAAATCAATTAACTATGAGGTGGAACTTCATTTGGGAGAAAATAGCATGATTGAAGTGTAAAGATCACAACATTTATTTGAAGCAAAAATTTGGTTACACTTTATTTTAAGGTGTCCTTGATACAGCGTAATTACACAATTAAGTATTGAGTTATACTGATTAACATAGTGCTTAGTTACTATAGGCTTTGTTTTAGGGTTAGTTTGTAATTATGCATAATTTACTGTTATTAGTTTAGTAAGTACATGTACTGTGTAACAAAAGGGCCTTTCGCACTTAGTTCTGGTACTATGAAAAGGTTCCCATGGTGCGAAAGGCCCTATTGACACTGTAAAATAAACCATTACCAAATATTTCTCAAAAACGGGGACCATTTGAATTATGAGTCAAATGAATCAATTAATTGACATGAACTGAATCAACCGATTCGCAAAAGTGAATAAATGATTGGTCTCAGAAAAAAAATGAACGAACCACAACATCACACATGCTCCGATACGCTGTGATACAGACTATTTGCCAATTAAGACATTGACATGTGTTGTTTAGCTGCTCTCCCCTCTTTAGTTGGCAGACGGAGTGCCTGATTGCAGATGCCACATTTAAATGACTCATTTCACAGGCTCCGATCAGTGCCGAGTGGTTCAGCGGTAAGCGCATCACACCACAAACCCAAAGACCCAAGTTCAAATCCCTCGCCAGCTCTTCCTCAGCAGCAACGGTGTGTAAACACAACCGAATCCCTCTTTTCGGCGTGAGCGATAAGAGTTAGACTAGACAACAGTGTCCTAATGGAGACACCTGTTCTACTGCAATCCGTCAAACAAGTGTACATAAAATCCTTCATTTTTGTCTGAAGACTCACACTGGTGAGAAAACGGGACACTTTGGAGCCAGCGAGCATTTGTCGGTGAGTGAATCAAACTAAGTGAGATCCGACAGAAATGAGGATCTGCTAAAGCAAGATCTTCTCAATCCCTGCAGGACTTTTCCCTTGTGTGACGCGCGTGGGACACTTCCGAGGTTTTCAGCGGCTTTGATATAAACCTTGAACGCTGCTGGAAAAAAGTCTTTGTAAGTTACATCTGTAATTAAAACAATCCAGCATCCTGATCCAATCAAAACACCTGCGGCTCAAATCACATTACTAGTTTTGAGTGTTTACATTTATAGTTACACAAACACACATAATATGTAATACTGCATAATACATACCGAGATTTTCTCTCATTTGATGTTGCAAAAAAAAAGATTCTTCATTACAGCTACTGGATTTCCTCGGAGTGATCATGTCTGTCTAAACTCTTTGGCTTCGCTTCCATCGAGCGCTTCAAAATCCCTTAGAGACGGATACACCTCAACATGACACAAACCTCTCCAGGATATCAAAAACAACCAGCGTTACATCAGAACTGAGCAGCACTGAGACCTTTGATTATGAAAATAAAACCCAAAGAGAGCACATCTAATAAAAAATATGCATATGCTGCAAATAAAGCCAGTTAAAGCTCATGCAATCTCTCCATGGCGCAACCTCTCTTGCAATGACTGTGAGGGACGGGTAAAAGACACTTTGCAGAATGGTAATTACGTTTAGTCCGTTGCATGGCAGGTGTATGTCTCCTTCTCACGGCCCACACAGCCTAAACGCTCCCTGCTGCCAAGTCTGTCTGTCTCACCCCCCCATAACCTACTAAACTAGAGAGAAACGCACGTGGAAAACCAGCAGCCGTGCTCACTGTAGAGCAGACCGCAGTGCTACGGCCGTATGCTCCTCACTGCTGATACTACAAATATATAAAAACAGTACGATTTTGCATGTGTAACAGCTGGTGAAATGTCTTTGGTGGTTTACACACGAATCAACCATGTGCATGTTGTAAAACACCATTAACCACATTCATAAACACACAGATAACCTAGAAAGCACAAAACACGTTCTATAGGGCAAAATAAAGTGACAGTTGAAATCTGAACACAGATCCAAAACAATCATCCACCACTGTAAAGTTTCCTGTCTCTTATTTAAATATACAGGACTCAGCACATGCAAACCAGATAAATGACAAAACTCTGCCTACAAAACAAAAGACTCCTGTAGACCAATGCAAGTGACAGATGCATCCCTAAAAGTGACCCAAATACAACCCTCTAACCTCCTGATTTAGACTTGAAAAACAACATATTAAAACACTTGTAATGTTACATTAGAACATTTTACAAAGAACCATGCATTACTCAATAAGTGGCAAAAAACTATCTAAACTAAGGCCTCATTTACAGTTTCTGTCTCATATTTAAATATACAAGAATTAGCACATGCATGTTGTGAAGCTTTTTTTTTTTTTAAATACTAAAATCAAACCACAAAAATGCCTACAAAACAAAAGACTCCTATAGACCAATGCAAGTGACAGATGCATCCTTAAAAGTGACCCAAATGCATTGCAAGTACAAAATAGCCATCTAAATGCCGTAAAACTCCGTATTTAGTAAAGTTGCATTATAACACTTTATAGAAAAAAAGAACTGCAATTAGAAAAGGGTTAAAGCTATTTAAACTAAATCCTCTTATTCAAATATACAGAACCTGCCATGAAAACAAAATACTTCAATGCAACTGACAGATGCATCCTTAAAACTGACTCAAATACAAGTCCAGAAGCACAATTTAACGGTGTAAAACCTGATTTAGATTACTTTTGCCCCATAATGTTGCATTAGCATCGCAACAAGAGCTGAAATTAAAAACACTGTAAAAAGTCTCCTTAATGCAATCATCAACACAAACATACGATCCTCCAAAACGCACGCTTCTGAGTCAGAACCGAGCCGCATGTTTGAGTGCATCGGGGCAGAGAAGCGACTGTAAACATTGAGCACATGTGCTGGAGCTGATCAGAGACAGAAACTGAATAAGAAAGACTCACCGAAGGTAGTACTGTTTCAAAACAAAAGCAGCATTCGAGCAGCTCCTAGGGAAATTGAAATCCTCGCTCAGTTCGGTCCACTGATTCTTGTCGGACACCTGTAGGGTGATGAGACAGGTGAGAGGGGTTCGGTTCAGATGCAGGACCGTGTGTGTCAGAATGTCTGTGTGTATATGTGTGTGCATGCTAACTCCCATTAGCACTCCGGCTAACTTACACTTTCCCATGTGAAATTAATAAATCAAACCAGCAGCCGGGAAACAAGGTGCTCTGAGGCGAACCCGTCCGAGCCCACCGGACCCCCGCGTCCGGACCGCGGATCTGTGCGAGGTTTGCGGCTGTATTTACAGCGCGGAATACACAGGCCTGTGTGCGGCCTACAGTCGCTCAATCCTCCGCCACACGAGAGGGATAAAGCCGCTGGTGTACACGACGGGTCCGGACGGGATTCGGTGCCTTAGCCTCGGTCCGGGTTATCGATGTTGTGAAGCCCCGGTAATTTTGAAGTGAGTGTGTGTGTGTGTGTGTGTGTGTGTGAAAGTGTGTGTGCGCGTCTGGGGCCAATCCATACACACTCACTACACACATACACTCACTCACTCACTCACTCACATACATACATACACAGGCCGATGCACGGCAGAACCGCAGACAGATCTGCCAAACCGGGCTGGAAGAGTGTGTGTGAAATTAAAAATGTTAAGTTTAGTGTGTGTGAGGAACTTACCTTCGCGAAGCCCCCTAAAGACACCACTCTCATATACAGAGCGCCCAGGTCCAGCTCCTTCCCACCCACCACGGGAACCTTTTTAAACGGAGATCTGTGGAGAAAAACAGTCGAATGAGCACCCGTGAGCCGTCCGGACCCCCTCACCGGTCACACAAGTTATAATAAGAGCGAAATTCCCGCTCACCCTCTGCTGTGGTGAAATTGCCGCAGCTCGTCCAGGAAAGCCTGTCCTGTCCTCCGCTGCACGGGGAGGTTTTTCCCCGTCGAGTTCGCCATCGTTTCGCTGAAATTCGGTCAAAGCCCCGGCTCAGATTCTGTTCCTAAGAGTCCGGGGATCCCATGCTCCGGTCCGCTCCGCTCCGGCGCGGCTGCGTGTTTGAAAAGTTAAAGAAATGACGGAGGATGAGAATGTGGAGAAACCCGCTCCAACGGCAGCCCGAGCAGCCCGCGAACCCGAGCGAGCTCAGTCCAACGGCACCGCTGCACCGCTCATGGCTGCACGGGGAAACAACGGCACCGGCTGCGCTTGTGTTGGGGTTTGGAGTGGGTTTTTTGACAGTGCGGGACGGACGCAGCTCCGGTTTAATCGCGCACACTGTGAAGCGGCAGCGGGATCCAGTTCAGACAAAAAGACCCGAGGCCGCGCGGCTCCGCGGCGCCCCCATCAGGCAAGCGTCGGTACTGCAACCGCCACAGCGCCGCTCATGAACAATAGACGGAGCTCGCTGGAGCGAAGGGGGAGTCGCGAAACCAATAGACGGAGCTCGCTGGCGCAAAGGGGGAGTCGCGAAACTCCACCACACAGTTAAAAACGGAAGCCAACCGTGAGCGTCGGTTGGGGGAAGGGAACTGACAGTTTAACGTCATGAAAATATTAAAACTTGAGTCAGACAAAGTGTTTGTTGTTTTCTATCCCCACAAAGAACCATGAGATTTATTTAAATTAATATATTTCAGTATATGCTTGTAACACTCCAAAGAGAAAGGAAAACTTGAAATCGCATTATATGACCCCTTTAAAACAAAGTCACGTGTCAACTACTAACTTGAGTTTTCATTTATAAAGCTCTAAAAGTGTTACCGACTGGTGTTTTAGTGAATTTCCTGCAAATATGGAAAAAATAAAGGTCTCAGTTAAATATGTGCAGTGTCACATGGTTAGTGCAAATTGTCACATGACCAGAACAGTTTAATTCATGTTTGCACAATGAGCGCATCAAAGCTCCAATACAAAAGGCTATGCTAACATAAAGATATGACAAAGATTTTTGGTACATGTTATCTTTAAGGTGTCTAGCATTAATATACGAATTCAAAATGATTCAGTTTGTTGAGTGTTTTCATAGAACGAGTAAACATGTTGATGGCAACAATAGTGACTGCTGGGATAATAGTGCATTTAGGTATACATATAAATCCAAGTTGCACTAAAATGTTGCAATGACAAAGTTACAGTGAATATTACACTAAATTAAAAGTTCCAATGTTACAAATAAGTTACAATACTGATGTTGTAATACTGGTAGCATTAATATAACAATTTTATGAAATATGTTACAATAATGTAACAATTTCGAAATACATTAATGGTCTTTTATCTCAGTATTCCTATCAGCGTTGTATAAGGGTTTTTATGCATAATAGTAACCCTAGAATGTGATCAAACTTTAGTTTGAAATAGCTGGGCTGATATATATAAAAATTCTGATGACTGCAGAAATATGTTAATTCAGTATACACATTATCCCACCGGTCACCGACCATAAAACACAATTTTTTCCACACACTTTTCAAAAAAATTACAAATAAATAAAATAAAAAAATAATTATTAATTATTTCAAAGGGTTACTAATAACCAGTGTTGGGGGTAACGCATTGCAAGTAACGCGAGTTACTTAATCAGATTACTTTTTTTCAAGTAACTAGTAAAGTAATGCATTACTTTTAAATTTACAAGAAAATATCTGAGTTATTTTTTCAAAAACTGTTTTCTCATGTATTGACTGATAGCTCTCCTGTCCAGTTGAGATAAATCGGGAGTAAGTGCAGAGGCATTGTGTAAACATGATGTTACTGCAGTTCTAGACTAAATGCCAACATGTATTTACTCATCTCACTCGCACAAAAACAGATTCAATATTCCTCAAAATGAATAAAAACAGTCAAATGCAAACTCAGGACATGACGCAAACATGTTAAATAACACAAATATCCTTTATTCCATTTTATTAACCAACGTCTTTGCTGCTGACTTTCGATGATCAACCATACTAATAGTTTACAGTCAGATGTTTTTTATTTATTCAACCTTATTTTGTTCCTGGCTAAATATTTGATACATAAATGTAAATTTTGTAAGTGAAAGCCTTTCTTTAGAATTTTTAAATTGAAATCTCTATATGTGTATGATTTCTGAATCTTCTAATAAGAAAGCTGTAAAAACTGTGAATTTGTTCAAAAGGTACATTATTGTCTTGCTCCCTGGCATATGATATAGGCCTACTGTCATTCTGTTATACATGTTATAAAAATAAAAAAATACTAATAAGCAAAAATGACTAAAGATAAACATAACATTTGTGTTATTGAGAGAAAAAAGTAACGCAAAAGTAACGTAATGCATAACTTTTTTTTATTTAGTCATTTATCAGACACTTTTATCCAAAGCGACTTACAAATGAGGACAACAGAAGCAATCAATTGTAGTATTAAAACAACTAAAAACAGATCCAAAACTAAAAGCTAAAACTTTATAAATACTACTTATACACATTTTAAAAATAAAGAAATTAAATAAAAATGACAAATGCATACAACAAAATTACAAAACTTAACATTTAAATGAAAAACAAAACAGCTAAAAACAATTCAAAATATTAAAGAACAAAAGGTATAAGAGTATAATAATGATTCTAACATAACACTAAGCCATTTTCATTTACTAAATTTCATTTCCATTTAGTTTGTTGAAGTAGTAAAATAACTCAAATTTAATAAAATTAAAACTTAATAAAAGACCTATACAGACATAATTTAACTCAAATTAAAATAAATAACAAATACATATAATACAAATCAAACGACAGTAGTTCATCAGTAATCCTAAAAAATAACACTGCCAAACTTACATGCTAAAAAACAACAACAACTTACTTACACATAGTAAGAAATGGTTATAAAAACTGAAACAGAAGTGAAACAAGTATTATTATTTTGTATCTTTTTGTACATGTATAATAAGCTTTGGCAATATTGTATCATTTACAGTCATGCCAATAAAGCAATTTTGAATTGAATTGAATAGTAGGATTACTACTTTACATTACTTTCCACAAAAAGTAACAAAGTAATCAGTTACTTTTTGAGGAAGTAACGCAATATTGTAATGCATGCATTACTGATAAAAGTAACTTTCCCCAACACTGCTAATGACACATCATTTGGTTATTTTCACGTCTGGGTAAAATGTGGGATTAAACGGGTTAATAATAGCTTAAGTCAAACCATGGTGTCTGCAGTTAAAGGAGCACAATCTGCGCTTTGTCGCAGCGGATGGACAATAATTTACTCCCGGTCCCTTGCAACAACCGCCGGGCGGATATAAACGACACGGGGTGACTACATTCAACCATTACACGCACCCCTCTCGCTAGTTATTCTGCCACAAAATGGCGGAGCTCGACGCGAAAGACCCCATTTTGTCAAGCAGACGATAAGAACAGTTCGAGGAAGCGGAATTTTTGTAGTTTGTAACGCTATTTCGAGCGAGTTTGGGATGCGTTTTGCCTCGAGCGCTGCTATGTTGAGACGTCGTCCGCGCGCTCCGAGTTTGACGCAGCTCGAGCGCTGCGCGAGCGAATGCTCACGCATAAATATATCAAGCTACATTAGATTTGTATCATATTTCAAATAACACGCAATAAACTTGACGAGGAATAATTTTATCTAGTCTGGAAGATATCTGACTGTTTCTGGTTAGATTTGTAAACCTAGTTTGTTACTTGTTGTATAATAATACTAAGCTTCCGTGTTTTAATATCTAAAGTTGTGTATGTTTTCATGAAATATATATGTGCTAAGAATTGCAGCTTGTTATGTGTGTGTATAGCTGTACAAACCATGCATTATTATACCGGGTGATGGAAAACCTGGAAATATCAAGAGGATTTAAAAAATGTTAAGGCCTAGAAATGTGATGGAAATTATTAAATATGATCAGAGTATGCTTTTTTGTAAATGCAATCTCTTTAAAATTATATATCCACAGACATAAATCAGGAAGGAAACAGAAATGCACAGACATAAAGACTGAGGACGAGTTTAGTTTGCATGCAGCTTTACTTCAGCAACTAAAAACCTGCATCATCAGAGTAGTTATTAGGCCAGATTGTCCAGCTAATCTGTTTAACATGAGTCTATCATCTGATGGATACACGAGTAAAACCAGATATATCCAGTCTTTGCTAAACTCTGACAACCCCAGATATTAAGTAGCATATGAAGGTTTTGAAGGTGAAAAGACGAGCTGCAAGTAGCCAGATATGATCGATAAAAGTGGGTAGAGTTCGCCATCATGTGGTTAAACATGGAAAATGTTCTGTATTAAATTGCTGCATCTTAACCAAGAACATACTCGCATTAATTTGCCAAGAAACACATGCTAGAATTTGCCTAAGAAACACATTGATAGATTTTAAAATATATTTTTTATATGTATCTACATTCTAATTGAAAATAACCTATAAAAACAAGAATTATTTGCATAAAAAATTAGTCAGAATGCATTTTAGTATCACTTGGATACTATTGTAGTTTTTATTAATATATTATTAGTAATATTTTTAATCAGTTTTTGTATTTTCCATTTTGCTGTTTGAGTCATTTTTAGTAGTTTCTGTTTTAAAACGTCTAGATAATGTTTATTTTTATTTCAGTTTTAGGTATTTTAGTCAATAGTTTTTATCAAGTTAAACTAAATTAAAATGAGAATGTTGCCTTGACAACTGACTGAAAACCTTTCTACACATTTACATTACAAATACAAAGTTTTCTATATATTTTCCAGTTGCCGTTTATTTTATTTCAAGTGACTTTTTTAATGGTATTAGTTTACTATAATAATCCTGGCATAAACTACTAGTTAGATTGCATTGGTTGCTCAAATATAACATGTAAGTATTTAAACCCTCAGCTTGTAGTTTGTCTTTTTAGCCACTAGGGTGCAGCACTAACACACACGAGCTGCTATAATCTCATTATATCGATGATAAGAAGATATTGATGTAGTAAAACTCATTTTCACTGTGGTGTATGCAAATTTCAATGTTGTTATATTTTGCATATTCATTTAAACATTGAGTTATGATTCTTTTCTTGTTACTCTTCATTATATTTACTGTTTTATGATACTTATATATTCAGTATTACTAATTTCATTTTTTTTTTCATATAATATTCCATTTATAATCATATTCCATAGTGGTCTGACATGTAAAGGGTATATTTTTGTTATGGTAAGATGTTGAGCACCTTGTTCGAAATATTTTTATGTGAAGGATGTTCTTTCCAAGAGCTGGTGTTTGCAAGATGATATTTGAAGATTGCTTAACTCTGTTGTTTCTGCTGGAAGGATGTAAAACCACAACCATATCTCTATTTTTATCTGACTTCTATCTACTGCATTTCACAGGTCATGTCAACGTGACCTAGTCCTGAACTTAATTCAGATGAGGTAGGGGAAATATTTGACAATACATAGATAATGACATGATGGATAAATTAGTTTGACGTTTATGATCCAGACCAAAACATCTGGTGATGTAATCTCTAGTATATATTATTCCAGCTTCTTCTTTTCTTCTGCTCATATCACATGCTCCAAAGCCCTTGGTCTTTTGACTTCTGAAGATTATTATACTTTAGATTAGAGTACTCTCTTAGAGATTTTAAGTAGAATATACTTAGTTTTATACTCTTTTTCTTTAATTTCTGTAATTGTTATCATTTACGATTTTGTCTTAAAATAAATTAAAATTTTATCTGAAAGACTTGGATTTCACTGCATCACACTGTAATATTATCCTGATATGTACACAATGCCAGATTAAGCTCAATTTACCTGCTACTCTGAATGAATTAGTCCACGTTCAAGTAGGCTAAAAATGCAGGAAATTATTCACCATATAGATCTTTATTTGACAGAATGCAAAGAGCACAAACGAACAAAACAAAGAAAATGAGCTACAGTCAAAACAAACATTTTCTTAAAGTGCTGGAAGAATATCTCTCACTGACGCACAAAAATATAATCAAAAAACTTTATCTGGAAAAAAAGAGAACAATTACTCTTACACATAAAATTAATATTTATAAAAACCTTTCTGTATAGGCCACACACTGGAAAATATTTAGCATTGTTCTGGACGGTGTAATAAAATAAAAGCTCAGGTGTTTATGGGCAAGACTGAGTCAGTAGTATTTGTGTGGCGTAAAGGAGGTAGCATTTCATTTAATAACAGCTGGCTGTTTGACCAACTTAAAACATACAAATTAAACCGCAGTACCTGCCAAACTAACCATCCTGACTAAATACAGTTCTTGATAATAAACCACACATATATTCCAACAAACACACATTTAAAGCACATAAACCCTAAATACTCTAAAATAGTTTTTAAAATGTGCTCTAAAACGATGCCATTCAAGATTCAAACATGAATTTCAATTTGGTTGCCGTAGAGATGTGTTTCTGCATATTATGGGGTGTCAGATCAGAGCTGAAATGACAGGAGTGGATTTCCATCTACATGTGTTTCTTATGTAATACAGTAACAGTGCTCTTAATGTAAATATGAAGTGGAAACAGAACAGCAGACATTTGCAAGCATTACGTGATCACATGATCTGAACGCCCTGCAGTGCATCTGCTTCTGCATCATACATGAAGACATTAAACACACACACATACTGCTTTATAACATTCTGCTGGTTTTTCTTATGAAGTACATTGACATACAGCGAATAAATGATTTGTGGAATTAATAAGTGATGTTGATCCATTTATAACTGAATAAGGAGTCAAATCAGATCGCGTAACAGATATGAACTGACTTAAAATAACTTATTAAACACAAACGATGACAACGATGATATGAGTTTGCAGATAACCGTGCATGATTTTAAACAATTAAGCTAAACCTATAAATGCTTGCAGTAGCTAAAGAGGAAATTAAAAACGTGTAAATTATTATTATTTTTTTTATGTAAAATGTATCCATTTCCAGGCATATCCTGATGATTTTTAGCATGGCACAAATGAAAGCTTGAGAGGAACATTTTGTCAGATGCCAAGAAAACAGATTATGTCATATTTAATTTAATGTAAATGAAAATGAGGCTGTTAAAGATAGATGTGTAGTGTGTTTATAGGTTGTGGTCTCATTTTCTTAGCTTGGCCACTAGAAACATATTTTTAATGTTTGAAAACGTATTTTTGACATTTAAAACATACAACAAATCAAAAAGACTGCACACGTCACAGCCTCATTTTCACTTAAATAAAATTAAATATGGCATCAGAATAATACCCCAGCATTCTTAGTTCTTTACCCTTCTCTTACTGTTCATCTCAAAGTAGGGTTCGTCACGTTTGCTGGGTTTCGTCCGTGCCGTGTGTTTGTGGGTAGTGCTCGTAGGTGCTGGTTTAGTAGCGGTGCTCTGGACAGGAGGGTTACTGCTGACTAGAGGTTTCCTCTGGGTCGTTTTAACGTTGACAGACGCGACGGTTCGCGTAGCACCAGCTGTGTTCTGCTCTACAGATTTACTCTTGCAGGTCACAGAAGGTTTTGCGAGAGCAATCGTCTGTTTGGGGTCATTCGGAGCCAAGCGAGGGGAAACGGGACGGCCGTTCCTAGAATCTAAGTGCAGGGCGGAGGCAGGGGAAGGAGGGCGTCTCTGGGCGAGCCGCGAGCTGACGGGTGCCGGAGGAGGGCGGCTGTTGCGCTGGGCAGGTTTCTGCGCAGATGTCGGTGGGGCTGAAGGTTTAGGCAGCTTGCAGGTGGGTTCGGGACAGACGGGACTGCGAGGTTGAGATGGAGATCCACGCGGGTGCAGTTTGGTCTTGGAGGTGGCGGAAGGGGCTTTTTGGGAAACCCCAGTCGGGGTTGACTGGGGAAGCGGGCTTCTTTTCGGGACGGGCGATGAAAGAGGGGTGGTTCTCGGTGAAGCTGTGGGTGTGTGAAAAATCTTCTTGGGTGCGGCAGCCTTACGAGGCATTAAGGGCGTGGAAGCGGGTGATTGGGTGACGCTGCGGGGCGTTGAAGCTGGCGATTGGGCAACGCCGCGGGGCGTGTGCGGGTTGGGTTTAAACACGGACGTCATGGAGGATGACGATGAAGAGGATGATTCTGGGAGGAGGTTAACGGCTGCGATGGGGTCCATCGTGGGCGGCTGCGCGGCCTGCACGGTGTGGGCGGGGCCTGGGCCGGACGGGCCTTTCTGATAGGATAGAATCTTCTGCTCTAGAGTGGTGAACTGCAGCAAGCGATTGGGGTCGTATTTCAGCAGAAACCCTTTCAGAGTGTCCCAACCTCCACCGACACGCACCATCACATGCTTCCCATGGAGCATCTAAGAGAGAGGATTTTAATTAGTAAGCAAACACAGAATTTGCCACACAGAATTAAATACTAGTGATGCACTAACATTTATTTTGACTGAAATCAAAATGAAAGTATATTTAATAATCAAATTACTTAATATTCAACGTTCAAATAAAAACTAAGATGTATATAAATGAAAAGTATGTAAAGACAGTTTTTATTAGTTTTTATTTAGCCAAAAACCAAAAATAAAGTTTACTCATTTAATCAAATTTACTTAATAATCAACAAAAAACAAGACATCACATTTTTACTGAAACCCCAAAACCGAAGTTTTGATTTAGCCATAAAACTGAAACCAAAAAGATTTCATAATCAATTAATCAAATTTATTTAATAATCAGACTCAAATAAAATCTGAGCTGTACTAACATATAAATTGCACATTAGGCAGTTTTTATATCAGCTTTTTAATTATATAATTATGTTTAAACTCCAATTTGTTGTTGAAATATAAATACTTGTTTTCATGACAGATTTATACATATTAATACATAATGAAATCAACAGGTTAAGTAAAAATATAATGAATATGTAATAAGTGCATATATTTATCATAATGCTCCTCTCTAGAGTTATTTTTTCTAGCTGACTAACGAGTTTATGGATACTGAATGGCTTTTCAGAAGTAAATGTGACGTTATTGTTTACAAGCTGTTTTGTCGACATCTTTCTGTGGTTGAAACACTAACTGAGTGATTACATGAGACATGAAGCATTTCAGTAAGTTGTTTAGTTCAATACACGTTTTGATGTTCATTCATGTTTACTTCATGCTATAACTAGCAGCAAAAAGGAAGAGATGATTTCAGCCCCCACTTTTGGCCGAATATTTTCGGTGCATCACTATTAAATACACTTGTTTTATTGGCATGTAGTGTGACCGCAATGTTTTATCAGGAAGCACACGTTCAATCTAATCTGGATGTGCGTGTGTGCGAATGTTATGACAGTTCAGCACGTGCTGGTTAAACAAACTAGATTGGATTTAGTAGACTGCTACAGTAGACTGAAGACAAGGAAAGTGTGCTCAGATGAGTGTGTTTGCATAAGGTTTATCTGCTCTACTGCAATGTGATTTAAACAGAATGAAAACAAGATAATGTAACAGTGTTTTAAATGTTTAAAATAGGCATGAAATACAAATTCACTATCTACTTTCTAAATGAAACTTATATATGCATATTTCTTTTGGACCTCATAATGTTTAATGAAAATATCCTAACTGGATCTTTAAACATCTAGGGCTATTAAACCCCGTCTCCACTTTTGAGAGCCACGCCCACATCTCAACATCCAATCAACAAATGATACATAGAACCAAGTCCCGCCCTACATTTTTATCTTTTCTGTTTTTTTACACTCAGACGTTTGTCACAATATGGAAGAAAAGATCTGTTGCTACTTCCACTTTATCGTGATTTCTAAAGCGGTCCCAAAATCTGCTCCTACCCTGATGAACAGGATCCTGTCTCCGAGCCTGTAGCGTCCCTCTGACAGATACTCGATGGAAAACTTCTGTGTGCAGTTACAGGGAGGGTCGTCCTGGTCCGCACAATCCTACAAACGAGAAGAGTTTGTTTGGGTGAAATGAGAGAAAAATTCAATCAACTGCAAGATGGAAATAGAACAGCTAGTTTGCAGATAGTGTATGAACGTTTAGCGCTGTTCTGAACTCAGGACCCGAGGGTGTCCTGCTGGTTTTTTGGCTGAGAGACAGTGAATATGTTAGCGTTTGGGGCAAAATTGTTCCCCATGTGAAACATGTCTCTAAACAACAGCTGCTGTTTACACACTCAACAGACAATAGCAAACCCAACTGGGTCAGAATGAAGACAGATGCTGACCCTCATCATGGAGGAAAATCCAACAAATAAAACATTTTCTCAAAGCCAGTAATTCTCCTGAACATTTACAATATTTCAGATGATTGCCAGGGTTATTTAGAATCATCGAGTCATTTTGATGGGAGTTTTTGTCATTTTATTAGTTCCTTTTTTTCTATATAGTTTTGAAGTTTCAGTTTACTTAGTTTTAGTTATTTTAATACTGCAACTGCAACTAAAATGAGAAGTTTTGCCTTGGCAACTAGGTGAAATAAAATGTTTTTATTTTATTTTATTTCAGGTAAATGTTTATTGAATATGTATTTAATGAATATGTTTTATGGTTTTAGTTTCAGTTCACCACAATAACCCTGGATTAAGCCTACAATTAAAATGTGAAATGGGTAATGCTTTTCTACAGAAAACATATTAGCATTAAGATTATATTATACAGTATGTGGAACATAATACTTTCTGCAGTCTGATTTTAGATGTTAAAATTTGTAGTTTATCACTTCCAGCTCATTTGTTACACTGAAATTGGGAGGTCAAGTTGAGTGCATTGCATTGTGGGAAACAGTATCTGACACACACAGGTTATGGGGACTCTCCATAGGCATAATGGTTTTTATACTGTACAAACTTTTTTTTCTATCCCACTACCCCTAAACCTACCTCTCACAGAAAACTTTCTGCATTTTTAGATTTTGCCCAAAAAAACCCCCACCATTTAGTATGTTTTTTAAGCCTATTAAATTACGGTGAACAGGAAGTGTCCTCATAAACCACCTTCATACTGTAATACCTGTGTCATACCCATGCCATTATACAAGTTTGTGTCCTCATAAACCACCTAAACTGGTGCGCGTGCACACACACACACACACACAGTGCACATTTTGCAGGTTGCCATTTGGATAATGCATGCATACAGAAAACCGCCATTTTTTGCAGCTATACATACTGCATACAAACTATAAAAAGACTAAGGCAATGTTTCAATTCAAACTAAAAGGCTGATCTCAGTGTGTGTGTGTGATACTCACAGCGTGATACAGGGCTCCATGCTGACAGCACACAGTGAATGTTTTCACTGGAGACGAGTGATCAGTCATCATTAGACTTTCCTCCAGTTCGATTTCCTTCTCCAGTTTAACCAAAACCGGAGGCTCTATCCCAAACCTAAACCAACAAAACACCCCATCAACACACTGTCTTAACAGTTCTGTTTCTGTTCTAACCAGCTAATCATGACATAATTATATGTACAATATGCAATTAAATATTTGTGTATAATGACCATTCAATTGCATAAATGACTGCTGACTTCCTCACATAAAATCATGTCAAATTTATATAAAAAGGTTTTAAGGTAATAAGGAAGATAATATACATTCAGATGGTTATTATTACAAAATAGACCCCTTTACATTATACATTATCCTTAACTTACAGTCACTGTTGTGTTCTTCTAGAAACTCTATACATTCAGATTCTCTACAGCACAATAGCTGCTCTAAGCGCTGAAGCCAATTCACTTAAATCCTCTAAAGTCCACGCAAATTTGCCCCCAACCCAACTTTAAAGCCCCTAAAGCAGCCCCTGACCTCTGACCCCAAAGCATAACCTGACATCCGTCACCTGCGGGATCATCAGAGCCAGTTCGCTTACCTGGAGACGACCCGTCCGATCTCCAGCAGGCACAGACACACCTGCCGCGGCTCTTTATGCAGGACTGGGGAAGGGAGGGAGAGCCGTTACCATGGTTACTTAGCCATCATTCATTGTCAAAGTTATTAAAGGTCCCCTGAAATGCTTAGAAACACACAGCGTTACTCT